CTCTTTCCCCATTTCTGTCTTCTCTGATCTCTTATCAAGCGGGGTTGGATAAGAGAGCATCTATTCCACCCACCTATTCTCCAAAATACAGGTCTAGGGAGCCAAAACTCAATAATGGGTGACCCACCACCCTCCTCTGGGGCTGCCCCACAGGCTCCAGGCCAGTCTCAGGTGGACCCAGGTCTGCAGGCCCTTCTTGCCTCTCTCTACTCCCCTCCCACCAGAGCCCAATGCTAATCTGATTTATGATGTCTGCACAGAAGAAATGACACTGGAGAGGCCATTTAAATCATCCTGTCACTGCCGCTCTCCCTGCCGCGGCAGTCGTCTTATCTCTGCTCCCTTTTTTATTAAAGCTAAAAGCCTCTTCCCAGCGAGGGAACAGCTGCTGAATACAGCCAGACCAGACCCATAGACGGTCTGAAGACTGGTATGCAGGGGACAAAGAGACGCTCCACGTAGAAAGCCGACACCCCAGACATCTGCTGCCCTTGGCATTCCTCTCAGCCTGGGCTGGACCCAGTTGGTCATTACCAAACCTATCCGAGCCCACAGGAAAGAAACTGGGGCCTGTAGGGTGGGAAACACAGGATTAGGCACTTAAGAAAGAGATTCAACTTCTTTAATTGGCCTACAAAGTCCTGCAAATGCAGGGCCCACTCCCAGTCTAATCTTGCACTACACTGACACTCCGGTCACATTCATTCTTCCTCTTCACTGAAGATCCCAGTGCATTCCTACTTCGGGGGCCTTTGCACACACTATTCCCTCTGCTGGGGTATGCCTGTCATCTCCCTTGCATCTGGATCAGTCCCTCTCTCCCTTCACACGCCAAGTCAGCATCAACTCCCTGGGGACATCTTCCCTGACCTCCCAGGCTAGGTGAGGTTCTTCTGTCAAATACCCTCATAGGACACTGGGCTTTTCCTTCATAGCACTAGCAACTATTTGTCAGATTCTTTGATTAATAGCCATCGAGTCCACCATCATAAACTCCCAGGATAGCAGGGACTGGCTGTGTTTTGTTAAACAGCTTTATTGAGGTATAATTTATGTACCACAGACTGGCTCTATTATGCATCCACTTGCTTGTAACTGAGCCGAACATGGCAATGTAAGACTCTGCATGCGACGTAGGTGAGACCCTCATCTCTGTGTTTGTCTCAGAAACTGTGGGTCCTGCCTGTGATGTTATCTCAACCCCATTAATCTCCTTTAAATCGCAGGGAACTATAACCAGCCCCAAATTAAATTCTAAGAATAGTGCTACTTTGGTAACAGCTGGCACCCTTATTAACAACCCTAAAGTTAAATACAATTACGAGTCCATTTTGCAGAGGAAGTACTGAGATGCAACCAAAGCTTAACTTGCCTATGGATGGGAAGAGGTGGCCCCAGGATTCAAACAGCCTTCTAGCAACCGCTACTCTGTGCTGGTTCACACCTACCTCTGCACCTTTCAGCAAGCTTTGTGACCTTAAACATGTTGCTTATACTCTCAGCTTCAGGAAAACAGAAATAATAACAGTGCTTCCTTCCTTCAAGGGTTACTGTAGAGGTAAATGAGAATATCACAGTGCTTGGAACCCAGTGACCTCTCGGGGTGGCCCTGCTGTTGGGTCACTGATTCCTCATAACACACATGGAAGGTCAGGAGACCAGGTTCCATTACACCATCTTAGAGATGAAGGCCTGTGCTACACTGCCACACTAGCTCTCCACCTCCTGCCATATCTCTTGGGTGAAATGGGCTTCCCAGTACTCGGGGTCTGTGTGCATTAGGGGCAGGACGTGGCCCCATAGCAAGCTCTCAGACTCGTCTGAAATGCCACGTCCCACAGCCACCATTTTATGTTTCCTCAGAGAGGAAGCCCCAGTCAGAGCAGATCCTAGGTGGGCTAGCCAGTCCCCCCTCCCCAATCCCCTGCCACCAAGAACCCCTTTTTGTTAGTCTCTTTAGAGCTCCACAGAACCGTGCTTTGAAAGGCTGTATCTGCCAACCCAATTGCATTTATTAAGTAATCACTCATTTTTATTTGTCAAGGACACACATAAGGTGCAATCGGGGCTCCTGATCAGCCCGAGATAAGCAGCACAACCAGACTGAGCTGACGGAATTCCAGCCAAAACGCAGAGAAATGACATTTCATTTAGTCTGGGCAGACCTGTCATGGGGAGATGTATGATCTCCCTTAAGCTGTCTGAAATATTGCTAATCGCTCTGGGCCCTTATTACTATATTGAAAGATGGCCCCTAAGGGTCTGGGGACACAGGATGGGGGAGCTCCTGCCCATGAGGAGTGAGCTGCTGCTGCCCGGAGAGAAGTGAGCTGCTGATGCCCAGGGAGGAGGGGTACTGCCAACTGCTTCTGGTATCCCACAGGCCGAGCCACCAGAGCAGCCCTCCCTATCCCCGCACTCCCGTCCAGCTACCTCCACCTGGTTGTCCTTCCACTGATGTTCATGGAACAGACAGGTATGGATGCCAGAGATGGGAGGGGAGCCAGCCTAGCCCAGCCGTTCCATTCTGGAGCCATCTTGGTGTTGCAGCTTTGACCATGGGTGACCTGAGTGGTAAGTCACCTAGTCACCTCTCTTTTCAATCTGGCTCTAAGTCTCCTTAGCAATTACATGCGACTAACCCCATTTGCTCAACTTCCTCAGTGAGCAGCATCGAACTCCAAGGTTCGATATTATGGCCTGTAAGAAAGTCTTCCACCCAATATAAGGCACACAGATACGGTCAACAGACTCTTGACCTCATGATCCATGCCCAGTACCAGCCAGCCCCAGATCATGGGCACACATGTGCCCAGCGTACTCAGGGAGGTCTCCAGAAGCAAACGGAGAACCTCCCCATGTGAGTCCGCCTCACAGAGCATCATGTTTTGCCACTGCAGCTCCATCCAGCCCCTTGTGCTTGTTTTTAAGGGTGGCTCATTTTAAACTTGGAAAACATACATACCTGCCAGCACCATCAAAGCATAATTTTTCAAAACCTTAAAAACACAACTCATGCAACTATTGAATAAACACATATCAAAGATTTTTTTAACTCATCAGTAAGGAATAATCAAGACGGTAGAGCTCATTCAGAGAGAATTTTAAGTAAGTAGGCACTTATGAACATTTAAACAGAAATAAGAGACTAAGATGCCTGGATTAGATATAAAATTCATTATTGTCCTAAGGGGCATTAAAAAATAATAATTTGCAGGGTTATCATTTCAACTGGACAGAAATTTGCTACTCTACCAGATAAGATCTACCAGTTGACGTATGACTTCAGTCTGAGTCCTTAATGAATTGTCAGTCGCAAAGTCAAACAAAAGTACATTTCCCTAGATATTAAAAAATCCTCTAGAAGGCTGGCTGAACAGTACCCAAGAAGGACTTGGAAAGGGCACTCTGCACTCTCTTGGCCTAACTTCTAAGTTTGGGATAATTTTTCTTAATCTATCCCAGACCTGTGATAAATAGTTTCTCTGAGAATCAATATGCCCAGGGAAGGACAGCCAGCCCCCTCCTACTCACAGAGGCACAGAGGGTCCCAGGAAAACCTAAGACCATTACTGGACACACAACCCTTTCTATCACCCCTTCAAAACACTTCAGTTATGTCACCTTCTTAAGAACAGACAGTAACATCCCTAAGGCTGTCCGTTGCTCTGTTAACAGTGGCATCAGCATGAAGACAGGCAGCACCCCCTGGTACCTGGCTACACTCTGTGCCAGGTACCATTCCGGGCACTTCACACAGAGTGCCTGAGTGCTCACGGGCATCCTCTGCCCTGTAGCATAGGGCCCTACAAGACTGACAGCCATATGAGCAGTCACAAGTTCAGATCGCCAGGTTGTACCAGGAGTGTGTACATGCCCAGGATCCTGAGGAGCTGAAGGGCTAAAGAAGGGGGAGTGCAGTGTGTGAGACTCTGCTGAAGATGCTTCCACAAACACCTGTGCATGCACACACACACACACACACACACACACACACACGCACACACTCTATCATAAAAAAGGGGGGAAGGAGTGGGAGAAATTTGGCCACTTGGTCACAGTTAGCAGAGCCGGGATCCATACCCAGATGGACCAGCTCTAGAGAACAGGGCTCAATGTCCAGACCATTGCTCTTTTCCACTCACAGGAGAGCTCCACCTGAAGGCAAGGCTTCTCCAGAAGCTAATAG